TGCAGGCCACGCAGGAGAGCCTGCCCGCCCTCCGCGGACAGGAGGCCCTGGCACAGGTCAGTACAGGCTCCTGGGCTGATGGGCCCTCCGGCACCCTTCCGTCAACACACTGCCTGTCTAACACAGGTGTGTCACATACCTCTCTCTGCAGCTGTAAGTTCAGGCTCTTGCTGGTTGGAGTTGGCAAAACTTGGAGCGTAAGGGTTTCCTGCTCCCGTGACTAGTGCAGGGTGTTGTGCTGTGAAAGCGCTCGCCTTTGGGCCCACAAGTGGGGAACTCCCTTATCTCCGTCACAAACTGTGTGTGAATCACAGCAGAGGGTGACCTTCCCCGTCTGTGGTTTTCAGAGCTGGTCTGTCAGTGACCACTCCTGAGAACAGGAGTAAAACTTCAATGTTTTAAAAAACAAGTTCTTGGACAGGCTGTGTTCTGATCCATTGTGGCTGGCTTTGCACAGGTGATTATAGTATAGATTGCTTTACATGGTGCATGGTTTTGCAAATACAGAGATTTACTAGATAGATGAATAAGCAGAGTGAATTTACATTACAGTGGCAGCTCAGTTGGGTGCTTTCTCAGTTAAGTGAGAAAGTAGCCAGAATGGGAGAATCACTGACTGATGCACTTTTCAGATGCTAGAGGACCCGGATGAGCTAGCAGTACTGGAAGAGATCCAACAAGAATTGATCTTGCAAGGTAATTCCTTTACGTGTTTTCCGATTCCTATTTGATTTGTAATATTCCTGACTTTCTAATAATCTGAAATAGCTGAGGCTGTGCTCCTTGTAGGCCACGTGATGCAGAAGAGCCTCCTTAGAAATCTCTGTAGCCTCTCTAGTGTGGAGACCCTTTTTGAGAGTTTTAAGTGGCATTTTAAGGTCTGTGAGAAGCTAAGAAGAGAGGAGACCAGACAAACAACCCTAAAGTGTTTGGGAGTTGTAGGAACCTGTCACCAGACAAACAACCCTAAACTGTTTGGGAGCTGTAGGAACCTGTCACCAGACAAACAACCCTAAAGTGTTTGGGAGCTGTAGGAACCTGTATAAATGAATTCAGAATGTTTTTAAATTGTTGGTTAGAAAGTCACCCACTGGAGACTGGCTAAAGATGGAGCCGTAGGAAAAACTGGATTTCCTCACGTGTAGAAATCTGATCCAAAGAAAGTTCAGTTCAGAAGCTGTGGCTGCCCCAGCCTCCATCTGCCCAGCAGTGTCACATGTGCTGCTTTGTCTTCCGTTTGTTTGTAATAGATGCCTGAGAGTATTTTGCTGTGTTATTGCAGAACAGTTGGTTATAGAAGAGTACGAGCGAAGTCTGCAGTTTGATGAAGAATGTCTCAACGCGATGCTTGATGGTTTGGATGCCAGCGACAAGGTCATCTGTCCAGTGTGTAGAAAGTAAGAAAGCCCTTGGGAATGGAATGAGGTTCTCCACTCCCCAACAGCAGCTTGGGCTTAGAAACAGGCAAAAGCAGTGGGCAGAGGCTGCTGTTAAGTGTGACTTACAGCAAAATAGAAAAACCTCAGCAATGATCTCCTAAATCTAACAGTTTTTTTTGCTAAAATCTACCTTTATTCTGGTTGTTGTGGTGATGCTTATTCTATGCTCTTTCTAGGAATAACCTGACTGTGAGGAATCACTTGGTTTTCTGCCAGTGTGGACTATACATCAGCACGCAGGTGAGCTGCGCTGAGTAACATGTTAAAAGTGACATCTTACATCTGCTGCTGCAAAGAGGCAGTTTTAAGCTACAGACAGCAACTTAAGTGCAAGATTTCTTTTAACCCAATTTTTCTCAGGGTATGACAGAAAGCAAGCTTCGGTCTCTTCTAGAGAACACTGTAACAGAGCACAGTCACAGATGCTTTCACAACCCAGAGTTCACAGTTACCAGTGGAATGGAGGAGGAAGCCAGTCTTCTCATGACCTGTCCGGTGAGTCTAAATGTCAAGTTCCTGGAAAGGATCTCTGGTTGGATCCCACTTCTCAATTACGTGGGCAGAAACCACAAGTCCATTGGTTCCAGGGGTTTGTGTTGCTGTTTTTCCACAAACTTCCTTGGAAATGGTTTTACTTTTGACCACCCAGTAACTGTAGAAGGAAGAGCCAAATTACACGACTTACCCTGACTGCTGGATTAGAGAATCTCTCAAGGACCTGTTAAATTTAGTGCCTTACAGTTCTCCCACCTTGGCCAACACCTTCCAAGTCTTGTATGGAGCAGCTGTTCAGATAAGTGGTTCATGAAGGAAAGATTTAAAAATTACTTCAGTTTAAGCCTCCTCAAAAGTCTCGTCCGTACCTCTTAGAAAATACTATTCCTTTGGCTTTCAAGGATGCTAAGGCTAGCATGTTCTTAGCCTTGCTGCTTACATAAACTCACTGTGAGGACAGGGTTAAGAACAGTATTTCAAATAGTTTTGAACATTAATAATTCATTTTATACATTAGTACAGTTTCTCTGTTCAACTTACCTTTTGTAAAGGTCTGTGACTCCTGGACAATTCTCCTCTAAGTTGATTCGGCTGCTGCTTTTTTACTGGAAGGACTTCAAGACTAAAAATCCACCCAGAGCTGCTAGTATTTTTATGTATATACTTCTATCTATCTGCTGTGTCAAAGATACTTGAAGAGGCACTGCCTTGTGCAGTACTGCCTTGACCTGCACTTTTAATGGCACAGTATGTTTTGAAATAAATATACTTCATTTAGTTCAGCCTTTGTGTTGTCTTTAACAATGCATCAGTGATCACACAGCTCACGCCGGACTTCAGCTTTGGGTTCTGTTTAAACTTAATGTGACCTTCAGGCAACAACTGGAGACACCAGTTGCAGTAGAAGGGCGCAGCTGTGGCCCTGCAGCAGTGCCTCTGCCATCGGCAGCCACAGCCTTTCAGTCCTTCTGCTGGAACTGAATGGCTCCAGCCTCTCTGCAGTGTTTTTCTAAAATAGCTACATTAATACTAATGTAATAGGCTATGGCAGCACATGCCTTTTTAAAACAACTCCTCAACCACGCTGCTTAAGACCCTGAATTCTATTCCCTAACACACAGCCAGCCAGACAAGCTTTCTGGAGTGAGAGTCACATTCCTAATTAGCACTGTTTGGCCAGCACCATTCCTCCGACCGCCCCAGCTCTGGCAGAAGGCTGGCAGTTCTGGAACAGCTCTCCCTGGAGAGAACTGCAGGGTGGCACACAGTGCAGGCAGCTGTGTTAACACCAGCTCAGGCACAAACACCATTGTTTTTATGGCAG